AACAGACAGATACATTATTATACCACATGTCTGTTGCATGGAAGTGCATTCTCACTAATCAGCAACTAAAAATAGAGAGACATAGAAGAAATAATAATAAATCCACTCATACTTAATTTGATGGTATGCCAGGATTCTTTCTGTAGTTGCTTTCTACAATACTATCTGCAATGTTTAAGAAAGCAAATTACATAAAGTAGTCCAAATAAAAACAAAAAGTGGCAAAAAAACAACTTTTTTGAAGGGGCTAAAACAGGGGCCAAAAGCCATCACCTCTTATATTGTATTGTTAAGATATAAAATGGTACTAGGATCCCTTAACCCTGACCCTAACCCTAACCAGTGTGTAGAATTTAGTGGGATCTAGCGATGAAGGTTACAGATTGCAACTAACTGAGCACCGCTGCTGTCTATAGAAGTGTGTAGAAGAAACTACGATGGTCGTGAAACTCGCAAAAAAAAGGCCCTATCTACAGCCAGTGTTTGGTTTGTCCATGGAAGGTGACCCGTGTAACGAAAACACAGAAATGATAAGATAGATAAAACAATCTCTCCTTACTGATGAATACACCTGGTTGGTACAAATAGGAGAAACTCAATCAAACAAAATTCCTTAACATCGTCGATAAGCTGTTTTTCACTTAATTTCACAGGTAATAATCACAGAATGTTTGTTTTCCACTTCATCAGTCTGAAACCTTTTGATAACAGGAGATAAAAGATGAAAGAATAACTAACCAACCCGGCCTTTTCAGCAAGAAGCTATTATTTCCTGGAGACGTGTATGTTCTGAAAAAGACCATGAAGTCTAAAGTGCAGTGCACTATAGTATTTCAGTCACTATTCCAGTAACACTTTATGGTAAGGGTACATGAATTATCATCAGGAATGTATAAAAATTAACAGCACGACTTGCTGCAAGAACTGAAATCCCTTTTCATTCACTGTTATTCATAATTAATTAAAAGTGGTTCTATTATTTTTGCTCCACTATGAAGCATATATAAGTTTACCAAAATATTAGAAACTCCACTGAATTTGGCAACGAATAAATAAAACTAAATAGTAAATAAAAATGCACAGATTACAAGTAAAAAAAAATAACATTTCAAATACATTAATACATTCTAATTCTAATAAAACTCCAAATGTCCCAGATGTAAAAGCACTGAAGAAACAAAACACACCTTTTGGTTGGTGTGAAAATTGAAGTTGTTCATGGAAAGCTGTTTCAGTCAGTGATGCTGAGGTTCATTCTGTGTCTGTGTCTTAAACATGCCTGATCTTTCTCTAGACAACAGGAAATGTAGAACACTATTTATACTTACTTTGCAAAGAGATGTATTTTGTTGTTTTGAAAGGAAAAGTCTGTCTTTCAAAGGTCCAATGTGTAACATTTAGGAACATCTGTTGTCAGAAATGGAATATAGGGTGCCTGTATAGCTCACCTGGTAGCGCTGGCAACCCATGTACCAAGGCTGAGTCCTTGCTGAAGGGGGTTAGAATCTGACCTGTGGAACTTTGCTGCATGTTACCCCCCACTCTTCAGCACTCACTATTGCTAATTTCTTTGTTTTTAGTTTTTTAGACTTTTGTACAGCAAAGATCTGATTAAACTGGTGTATATATATAAAAACTAAAATGTTGGCTAGATGTATGGCAGCTTTGTTCTTTATATTGGTTTAGTTTTCCTTATATTTTGTTATACTTATTTTTTGTGTCTCTTACCTTTAATAAAGCTTATAGTTAGGGCTGGATCAGGTGAGTCCTGAACCATCCCTTAGTTATGCTGCTATAGGCCTAGACTATCGGGGGATTTCCCATGGTGCACTGAGCTCCTCTCTTCCTCTCTCTTTCTGCACTCATTCATGTTCCATTAATGCATGTTACTAACTTCACTTCTTCCCCGGAGTTCTTGTGCTTTCTCGTCTCGCAGGTTCTCATGGATCCTGGTGGAGCCTCCTGCCATGGTCCTGCTTGACTGCCATTGCTAATATCACTGATATTATTGTTATTATTATTATTATAACTACAGTTACTATTATTACTATTGTCACTGCTCATTGTCCCCCATCGTTGTTATCGCCATCATCTTCTTCATGTTCATCATCATCAGTCACTACTGTTGTTGCTGTGCACCTTTGTCTGTCTGTCTGTCTCTCTCTCTCACCCCAACTGGTCGAGACAGACGACCACCCACCTAGAGCCGGAGGATCTGTCCTAGGTTTCTGCCTTTTAACAGGCAGTTTTTCCTTGCCCTTGTCGCCAAGTGCTTGCTCATGGTGGTACTGTTGGGTCTCTGTAATTAATGTTATAAAGAGTTCGGTCTAGACCTGCTCTATTTGAAAAGCGTCCTGAGATAACTTCTGTTATGAATTGGCGCTATACAAATAAAATTGAAAGATGCAGAGGCAGATCCAGAGGGGTGACATTGGGTGGTAATTAATATAATCTGATAAACTGTTGCCCATTCCCTTGTGGTCCCAGATTTCAGCAATTACCATAAGAGTACCATGTTACCATGACTGACAAAAATGTTTGCCAAACCTACAAAACTAAGACCCAAGTTGTGATGGATCAGAATTATGATTAAAGCCAAAAGGAATGTGAGAGGGACAACTGTTTTTACTGCCTGTCTATTCCTACTCCTATTTACTGCTACATCAAACTTTTACAAGTTCAAAAAGCAATCATCCGTATCAGACTCCAGGAGAAGTATTCTCCCTATCTTCTCCTCTCATCTCAGACACCTTCACATATACTCCGACCTCATCTTTTTGCAGGTGATTTTTGTCACGTATTCGTGTGAGGAAAGCTGATGACATCCAAGGATTCTTCTCTGAGCTTCCCTCAAGCTCACCCCTCGAGCCACTCACTGCCTCCTTGTGTCACCTCTGTGACACCGGCTCACAGGAAATGTCTGCCTGCTCCACTCACATGTGCAATAGATCTGCAGAGCTTGAACTAACAATGAAGCTGAGCTTTTTATTCGCAGGCAGCATCCATTTTGCAAGACCTCTTAGACAAGATCAAGGGGACTGAGGTGCTTCCTCCTTTGATTTCCTAGCCTCTCCTTTTTTCTGACTCTTGTGTCTTAGTTTAGCGCTGCCATCTTGCCCCTTTAAGATAAGATGTACCTTTATTGATCCCCCTTAGGAGAAATTCAAAATTGACACAGCAGCAAACACCGGCAACTTGCTAGCTGTTGGCACCAAAAGATGCCTCTTCCCAGCACACCAGAAAGAAGAAACACTGGACAGAGGGTGAACATCCTAGTAGCCATGATGGACTTTCAGTGCTGGTCCCTTTGTGTACCAATGTACCTGATTGAAAGGGTACCTTTCCTATAAGGTACAATATACTATGAAAGGGTACTTTCCTGTACTATATAAGCCCCCAGTGACAAGCTATTCTGGACTTTAAGGAGACAAAAATGTACCAGAATTGTCTACACAATAATTGCTTCTTTACCATTTATTAACATCAATGAAAATATATTTTTTCAGATAAACATGGCAGCATTTATGGTGTAATAAAATGTTAATTCATTCAATTCAATATAGTTACATATAAAATGAATCAATGTCAATGCATAACATAACAAGATGTAAAGATTGCAGTCACATTAACGTAAGGCAGAATACTTTTACTAACAAACATATTTAGATAGAATATATTTATACAGAATACCTCAAGGAAACAAACAGTCTATCATCATCTAAATAGGTGTCGAGAGCTTGATGGTCTAACTCAGTACTTCTCAAATAGTGGTGAGGTGTCAGGGGGGGCGCGAAAGGCTGACTGACGGAGGAGGAGAGATGGAGAAGTTTCTGACAGGAGTAAAAAGAAAAACGGAGGAGACGTCAGAGGCAAGAACAGCAAGTGACGGTAACAGGCATAAGCCTATTAAGACCAGGAAATACGACGAAGCCTACATAGCCTTTAGGTTTACCATGAATACGGTTTGGAAATGAGGAAAGACCTGTGTGTGTTTTATGTTTAAAAACTCTGGCAGCGGACAGCATGAAACCCAACTAATTAAGACGGCACCTGGAGACCTTACACCCCAGTTCTGTCAATAAGCCCCTGGACTTTTTTCATCAGATACTCGATGAGTATCTCCAACAGGTCGGTCATTTAGTGAGCGCAGCATCAGTAAATAAATACGCACCGTTAGCCTCATACAAACACCGCCACATCGCAAGGTGCAAAAAAACATCACACAATAGCAGAGGGCTATTACTCTGGCAGCATTGGACATGGTCACAATCATAGGTGAGAAAAGTGCGAGAACTGAATACTGTCCCTTGTCCAATGACACGATCGGAGACGTATATTTGACATTTCAGGCGACCTCAGAACAACTCACAGAACATCTAACAGACAAACGTTAAATATAAGTAATATTGTTGCAAATTTTGCAGAAAAAAAAAAACAAATGTTAAAAAGTCATATGCCTTTTTGAAAAGGATTAAGCTGATGAAGCTGACAAGTGACCAATGTTTACAGTTTAAAACAGTTTTGAATGTTACTGTGTTAAGTCTATAAAAATGCACATCCCAGTGAATCATTTGCACTTTTTTCTCTGTTTTGAGGATCACAGACTGAGCAGTCTTGTTTAAATGTTACAAATTGAGTTAATAAACTGAACTTGGAAATTGTTTTTAGTTGTTGCAGATCTTATCTCAGATCATTTTATTAATCCATTTTGATAATCAGGTGATTGTATGCAGAATGCTGATGCTAGCAACTCATACTGTGGTTTGTACAGATAAATAAATAAATATTATCAGTTTCTCAATAGTATTAAAATTCAGGGGGGGGCGTGAAAAAATGTCTGTCCTCTAGGGGGGGCATGACAGAAAATAATTGAGAACCACTGGTCTAACTCATTTCCTGGACTGAGCAGAATCCAGTCATTGTCAACTGTGACATGGTAAGCATGGAAGTGATTGTCATAAGAGCAAGGCAATAACAGTTTTCCACAACACCCAAACATTCAGAATGTACTTAATTTTCAAGAATAAAGGGATGGCTTCAGTGTGTACATTTCTTGTGGACCGGTTCTTTGGCATCTAAGCGCCTCTGGACATCTTGTGGGAATTGTGGAATGGAAATGACTGCAGGCAGTCTGTGGCAAGTAGATTCCAAACTGCAATACAGCAGAAGAACAGCATTATCTCTGCCATTTTGCTACCACTTTAAAGCAGATTAGGACAATAACACCTCAATGCAAGATAAAAAGAGAAAGAGAAAAGGTGAAAAAAATTGCATAATTAATACATTATTACCTCTGGTTTGCTGGGGACACAGGAGCTTCACATGTTTGTTGTTATGGGTTGACTACTTCCAAAGTAAGGGTGGCCTCCTTGTAGCGGCGTGTGAAGTCTTTGAATTTTAGCTGCTTTTTGAAAGACTTGTCAAAGAGATATGCAATCATATTTTCCGTGAGTCCGCAGTTTACTGTCTCTCCATCCACATCATTGTCTGAAATGTAAATGAAAAAGCTATTAAAAGAAGCACTGAAACTCTGGACATACAGATAGTGACTGACACAATTCATAAAAAAAACCCTTTCTTTTAGCAACTTGCTGTGATGTGGTTTGTAAATACAAACTCTGTATATAATCATTATATCTCATAACATCATATCTCAGCAGCTATCTTGTTATTAACATTATATCTCCAGCATCTGTTTTCGTATGAACATTATATCTTCAGCAATGGAGAACAGCCTCTCTGCTGCACTGTTAGCTCGTTTTAGGACAATGAACAGGCAGGGTTTTTGAGGTGAAACATAAGTTACTGAGCACCAAGTTACTTTCTTCACCTCAGAGTTGTTTTAAGTTGTTCAATGGTGCAGAGTGTGTTTATCATTTGGTCTAGTCTTGTTTTTGTCAGAGCTGCACCGCTCAGTTAACGTCAGTCTTCAAGTGACAGTGTATAAAGTTCACAATATACTTCATGTCTCTCGCAAAGGTAATTATTTAGTCATTAAATCAAAACATGCTTGCAACCGCTGTCATTTTCGAAGATGGACAAGAACATAACTACATGGATTAAAGCAAAAAAAAATCTTTTGACTGAAATATTTTTTCGAGCTGCATCCAAGTTATATTCCCAATTTGTAATTTGTGAAACATGTTACAGGGCACATTACTTGACACATGCTAAAAAACTAAGATAAGATTTACAGCCTCACCCCACACCATGTTCTCTAATGCAGACATCAAGTTTAAATACTTGACCAACAGTGTTTTACAGGAGGATGATCTGAACAGCTGTTCTATTCACACTTATGTTTTTTGTCTTTTCAATGTAATTTTCAATCTATGAAATCAAACTGTGACTCTTTTTTCTTTTGCCAAGCTTCTCTCAAGTTTTTTTTTTACTTCAAATAATCAACCATCTACAGAACTTTTTAGTACGCTATTTTTCTACTTCTTCTCATCATCATTAATTATTATTACTACTATTAATAATATTGTTTACAGTGAGCCTCTTATCGTTTAACAGAAAAATACATCATACAAACAGCAAATTTTGCAGCCACGTCAGTCTGATGGCGAGTTATCACCTTTCTGTCATCACTAACATACTGTTAACAATCAAAGAAGCTCTGAGGCTTTACATTTGTTCTATATGTTAGAATACAAGATTTCAGCATTGAGCTACAATCAGGCTACATTCATGATTTTGTACAGTCAAACTAACCAAAAACTTCTTATTGATCATCATTATAAAGTTTCAGGGAGTTCCTGTAACCATGGTAACTCACGGTGCCAGAGGGGAGGGAGACCGTTTACACATATACACTCCAGATAAAGTCCAGACTATAGTTGTTATTTCACACATGTAGCACACAACAGGAGACTCTCGTGTCAGACGAGTTCTCACGTGTTGACTAAACTCAAAAACTAATTGATAACGTAGCAGCGCGATGAGTCCTTGCTAGCTAAGCAGCTAAACTTTAGCGCCGCTCCGTGTTTAGATCCCGCCCTGTGTGGGTCACTACACTGTCATTGGTCAGGCGCGTACATGCTGTTAACGATACCATTGGCTGTAGAGTGTGACAATCTGTCAATAAATATCAGCCAACACTTTTTTGTTCTCCTCCGATCTACATTGATCTCATAACATAGGTTGCCTCTGTGAACTCTGAATGACAGAAATCCGTCGTAGCGACGGAGAACTTTAATCCATGTAACGTTAACTACCGTGTGTAAACAGTCCGAGTACAACAGGTGTCCCCGCAGTTGGGGTCCGACTTCAAGTGAAAGCACAGTGACGCACCGGGACTCTTGCTTTGAATTAGATACGCAGGGAAACCCCTGTTTGTAAAGAAGGACAGTGACCATAGCTGCCAACACTTTGTTTATAATAATAATAATAATAATAATAATAATAATAATAATAATAATGAGAAGTGCACAATAACAAAGGTTTTATTTTTAAAGCTTAGACCAGAAGCCACCGGAAGCCGCCGCAGCTCCGTTAGTTTGACAGAAGCTGAAACACACGGTGAAATGTTTTTAACTGTAAATAAAAGTGCACAGTTTCCAGCCTGCGTCAGACAATGCTGAGTTTACTGACTAATTATTAAAAACCAGGATGTGTTGCGTGTACTATCGTCATATTAACCGGCTCAGCACTAATATCCACGCACATTTTCTGCTGTGTGTTGCGTTAAGCGGCAGATAAAAGGCTGCTGCTTGGAGAGAAAATTAATTAAACCGAATTCAAAAGATTAAATGTGACAAAAGTTTACATGTGTTTTTACCACAGTATTAAACTGTGATGTTCATGTTTTGTTGTAATAAAAATAGAAACATGAATAAATAAACACCAAGTAACGTTAAGATAAACACTAGTGAATAAGATAAATACCAAACAATAACTTGTATACTTCAAACTCAGAGTTTTCGCGGGGTTTGGCGACTGACCTGTAACGTTACCTTTGCTAGCTTGACATTAGCATGGCTAATAACGTTAACAGTTAACAGTTAGCTGACTTAATTATGTGAGCTAACTAATGATATTTTCGATAACTTTATTTACTTAACGTTACTACATTTTTGGTAGTTCAAGAGACAGTATTGTATAACTTACAGTAAGTGAATTAACGTTAGTGACTGTAATATCAGAACAAACTTAACGTTAGCTACTGATACCAATGCTAATGATAGCTCTGATGTTAAGTTAGCTAACGGTTACATTTTCGTCATTGGTGATAAAGTTATGAAGTTCAAACTTTACCTACCTCTAAATTTCTGAGCCTTTTGTACAAGTTCCTCTGTGGACAGACCCCCGAGTGACATACTGAATGAACTGTGAATCATGAATCATGAACTGACTCCTGTCTGTCTGCTCAGCACTAGTTTGACGTCTCTGGTATTAGTGCGCCGCTGTTGCTTGGCAACCATTGTGCTGTCTTGGGGAACTAATGTTATATTTCGGGGTGGAAGGATTAGGATTTGTTTTCAGTAAATAATCACATTTTATGTTACCGTGTGTTTCTTTTCTGAAGTATTACTAGGTTGTCTACAGTAACCGTTTTAGCAACCGTTTAATAAAAGCTGACTGAACCGTGATTTACAGTGATTTTAGAACAGCTCTATGGAGGACTAGTTCTAGGTAATGGGACCCATTTATCTGCACAGGTAATGATCTGTCTGTCTTCAGAAATGCAGGGACAATTTATTGAGCTGAACAGTGATGGCAGGTTGAAGCATCTTTTTGCCACTTGTTCTCTCGTGATCTTCTGGGTGGCACTGATGAGGGAAAACTTTTGCCTCCACATACTTGTGCGAGGCGGGCTTTTCCAAACTGACTGAGCTCAAAACAAAACACCACGTTCAAATGAGGCTGTAAATCCAAAACTGAGCTGATTCAACAGATTTGTAGAACAAAGTAGTCTCATGTTTCACATTGAGCTAAAGCTTTGTAGAAATGGTGCCAATAATAAGAGGCTAACAACAATAATATAACAATAATAATAATAATAGTTCTAAATACCTCAACTATAACTACTAATAGGCCTATAATACTACAATTACTGCAATGCTGCAGGTACCCCTTGAAATGGTACAAATTTGTTCTTTCTTTTGCTTTAAATAGATTTAAAGATTTTAAGATACTTTGTACCCTTTCTGTTAATCGAAAGGTACACTTTTGACCTCTTAAAGACCAATATTGTGCTTTTGAGGGAACATTCTTCAAAAATGTACCCATAAGTACAAAACTGTTCATGTCTTGCACCTCTGTTTTTTTGTGCACGCTGAATGACCTGAGCCTCCTCAGAAAGAACAGCCTGCTCTGACCTTTCCTGTAGAGGGCCTCAGTGTGATCCGTCCAGTCCAGTTTATTGTTGAGTGTCACCCCCAGGAACTTGTAGGTGTCCACCATCTCTACCTTCTCCCCCCTAATCTCAACTGAGGAAGGGGGCCTCTTGCTGCGCCGGAAGTCCACGACCAGCTACTTGGTTTTTTTTTTTGTTTGTTTTTTTTTTTACAAAACTAAGCTTCTAAAGGTCTCATTCTGGAAACTTGGTCCAAAGAATCAAGAGTATCTCGTCAAGAAGGATGTTTGATTCAACCCCTATCAGTGGATGCCTTTTCTGGTTTTGCTCTGATGTTCCGGTGTCCCATCAGTCTCTGTGCCCCCCTAACAAAAAATAAGTTTATTTATTCATTTATTTGAACTTAAGTTAAGTTGCTATAGTATGTTTACTTTAAGATGAAGAGTATACTTTCAATTTACCTAATTTTACTCTTGAAGTGAAAAGATTGTTTTTCTTAATCAAGCTCAGAAGCATTTAGCGCTGACAATTCTCTGGTAAAGGTGTTCTCTACCTCCTTTAATGAGTCAGTTGTAACATATGCTGTGATCTGTTAGTTTAGTAATCTCAGAGTGACAAACAAAACCTTTAAAAATGTGTGTTTAAAATCAGTGGTGTAATTTGAAATGATCTCTGTTGTTTATGACATTAGTGCTAACCTGTGTACTTGTTATCTTTTATTGATTTTTGTATTTCTTCATTGTTGTATTCTTCTCCTATTCGTTGTTACTGACTGCTGTCTGTAAGCCAAATTGCCCCTCTGAGACATTCAAGCTTTAAAGTGTTACTCTATCTGATCCAACCTTCAATAACAGCAATCTGGGAACTTGTAGGAGAAATCACCAGCAGCCAAAGCTGACCAGTCACAGTTCTTGTTGTCCGTTGCCCCGAAGTTACATCAGCGGACATCAGCTATGTGCATACGCTGATCAGCCATAACATTGTGAACACTGACAGGTGAATAACACTGATTATCTGGTTATCATGGCACCTGTCAGTGGGTGGGATATATTAGGCAGCATGTGAACACTTTGTTCTCAGAGTTGATGTGTTAGAAAGTGCTCCAAGGTAGGAAAGTGGTGAACCAGAGACAGGGTCATGGGGGGCCAAGGCTCACTGATGCACGTGGGGAGTGAAGGCTGGCCAGTGTGGTCCGATCCAACAGACGAGCTACTGTAGCTCAAACTGCTGAAACAGTTAATGCTGGTTCTGATAGAAAGGCGTCAGAGCACACAGTGCATTGTAGTTTCTTGGTATGGGGCTGCAGAACATTATGACCACCAGGGTGTCCAGGTGCTCACAATGTTATGATGACTGATGTGTATATACACTGTAAAACCTGATGAGGAAATCTTTAAATTTATTAACAATATCAGCCCGAATAAATATTTGATTTGAGTACAAGAAACTCATTTATTGTTAAGGTAAGTCAAATTAAGTTGACTGTGCTTAAAAGTAGTAACTATGTTACACTCATATGCAGCATTTCTTTGTAAAAACTTTTTAAAACCTATTGAAAATGTGTTAACAGAATTTATCTGAATAAAGTAAGACTAACTTAAATGCATCTTCTTTACCACTTAACTTGAATTTCCACTAAAGCCAATTATTACATTACTTAATAAATTATCCAAATAGTAGCCAATTAATTTGGGAGCTTTGGGGCTTACATTTTTGTAATGATATAAAGACAATTTAAACAAACTGGAATTATATCACCAATACTTAAAATACTGCACAGACTCAAGTGCACTCAAAACAAGGCACCTAACCCCTAACTGCTACCTGGGCGCCCACGGCTGCTCACTGTTCCTAATGTATATAGTAATGTATATAGGATGGGTCAAATGCAGTGGACAAATTTTATTTCATGTGTAAAATGCTGTATATACTGTGAAATGACAATAAAGACTGATTTTTGTATTTGCATTTGTATGTGAACATTTTTGAAAAATGAATGTCAAACTACTTTTCCTAAGATAAGGCATGGCCTAAATGTTTAGTTTAAAGATATATATGTATATTTCCACATTGGTCACATTCTTCTCAAATTATGTAATTTTAATACCAGGGTTCTGAAATATCAATGTTCTGTCCAATTATAAGGTAAACAAACAAACAAATACAAATTAGCAATGGCTGCAACACACATGCAGTCATGCATTCACACACACACACACACACACACACACACACACACACACACACACACACACACACACACACACACAACAAACAGACCCTTGATCTCCAAATTTGACCCTTCTTGGGCAAAAACTGAGGCAGGGTGGGGACATTTTTGTGTGCCAACCGATTGACAGAGTAAGCTACAGAGCTGCTGGTGGCAGCTGAAAAGCTTCCTTGTTATTTTTCAGATAGTTTGTATATATTTGTGTGTATAAGCAGATGCCACAGGACAGAAAGCCCAGCTTGTGGCTTCATTTTCCTCTGACTTTTCAAACAGAGCTGATAAATGAGCAGGGGGAGACAATAATGTAACAGTTTGTGCGTGAGAACCAAAGTAGCATTACAGCTCTGGACCTTGAGGCTGCTTGATGGCTGTGCTGACAGAATAATCTCAAGCCAGTGAACTGCGTCAAGCTTGCCATCCATTGGCACCGCCACATCGCTCCTCCAAAAAAAATAAGTGCATGTTCATTCTTACGCCATGGAGCTGCTTGACTCTGACTTTTTCCACACATCTCTGGAAGGCTGTTGTGTGTTCATTAAACATTCAGCTGATTGCTCTCACAACAGGCCTGCTTATGGGCAAGTGGAGGACATTCCCTTTTAAACAGACATCTCTTTGCATTTGAAATGAGACTGGGCATCTAGCTGATGGCTGTGAGCAGGCCTGCCTGGGGAGGTGGTGGTGGGGCGATGTGGGCCTTTGTGGTCACTGAAGCAAAATGAACACAGCCGCAGTTGTTAGCTGCTGTGCACAGCTGTAGATTACATGTGTCACTAAGTCCTCAAACAGAACAAGGTGTTGCAGTTTGTGGCTTGATGGTTAATCTGCAGCTTCCAGCAGGTGGTCTCACCATCAGCTGACTACCAGCAAGTGAGTTTATTTCATTATTCAAAATACATGCCATATGTACCGCAATAGTGACACCTATCAGGGATTACATCTCAATGCAAAACTGTAACACCAGGCAAGACAAAACGCCTACACGGTCATAGTCTCCAATATAAATTAAAATACATATATATAAAACTAAATAAATGTGTTTAATACCCATCAAATTCATAAAATGCAACAATTGAACATATAGCAAATGAAGCTTCCCAAACTGGCCAATGGCGAATATTTGAATAATATATTTATTGTTTTTACTTATCAAGCAGAAAATGCAGAATATTCCCTGGTTCCAACTTCAAGCTTCTCAACAGTGAGGATTTATCAATCTCTGATAGTAAACTTTGGGGTTTGAATTGTTGGTCAAATCAAAGTTTAAAAACATCAATTTGAAAAAGGTGATTATTTGATTAATTTCAAAATTCTGCAGAATAATACATCGATAATAAACAGTTGCAAGACTCAATATCTGTCTATGAATGAAGTTTTAAACATAATTTGTTTTGTCCTCTAGGGGAAAATTGTTTTTCATCTTTATGTGGGAGCAGTCAAGAAGTCTTCTTACCAGGCTTCAAGCTATGTGCTTGTGTATTTCAGAGTGGTACTAAACCAATCAGCATCCAGTGAGGAAGTACTTGCAAACAGCATGAGCTATGACGTGTGTGAGGAGTTTGCTCAAAAACAACAATGGCGGCTGCTAAAGAGGTTAGCGCAGTTGCTGCTCACATCAGTTACATCAGAACGCTGATCAGATTGGTTTAAATTCGCCAGTTTACTGTGATCGACAGATTATTCATCCAATCACCTTATTTTTTGAAAGTGCCTGCCCTTTTCCAAACAGTTTCCAACGACATTTTTAATTCATAAACAAACCCACAATCTTTCCCTAAACTGTTAAAGTAAAGTGTTTTTCTGACCTGAACCCAACCATGTGGTGGACACACTTCACTGTCCCACCCTTTGTATGAG